TGTATAATATTTAGATTTATGTCAAATAGAAGATAATTCGCAAATTTAAAAACAATATTTAGAACTCGAATTAGCAATAATTTTAATAATATGTAAATATCACAAGATATAATCTGTAAAATATAATCTCAATATATTATGATAAACAATCTCTCCCTGTATATTAATATTTTTCCTTCTCTGCTCTTCAAGTGTGCGTGTACGGAATAAATTAATTACATTAAAAGTTATAGATGTATATAGATATAATGTTTTCTGTTCTTTTATTCTCTTATTTTATGATCATATATGATTATATTCTATATTTATATAGGAGATATAAAATCAATAGTAAAAGAAAAGATGTTAACGAATACAGTTACATCAAAAACAAAATTATGTCAAAAATATGAAAAGTTCTTTGTACATATATTGAAACCATGTGTATGCAATAAATTATTAATAAAAAATATTTTATGTTACACATTCACGTAACAACTGTAATATATTTTTCAACATTATATATGTTTTCGCATTATAAACAATGAAAATATAAATTTGCATTATTTAAAAAAAATAAAGAAAAATATAAACATGTTTATAAATGTACGTATATCAGTTCTTCAAGATATTATTGTTAATAAAAATATATCGATACCGGAATCTTTCTCTCAGTATCAATAACGGGAGACAATCTGTTTATTCGCAACACAACTCATAACGGATTATTACGGTTTGCAAAGTAAATTAGAGCTATTTTGTCAAACGTCATTTCTTCTCGTTAGCGCAGCTGCACCGGCTGAATATGTTTTGTCTGCGACAGTCTCGAAATCGTAGCAAAAGAGCGCTGTATAATAACGTAAACATTAACTGTTGGTAGTCTCGCGTCTTCCTGTCTGTAAAACGGACAATATGTAGATAATGACAAACGCATTGCTATGACGTGAAACAGTCAAAATTGTTGCTCACAACAATGCTGAACGCATGCAGACAATATATTTACGACCGGTCAAGTGGTAGTTACAGTTACAAGTCTATATAGAGGGCATTCGCTCCAGAATCATGGTCATTCATCTTTGAATATCAGCATGTTACGTATTTTAATTTTGGTTCTCTTCCTACGCCTGTCTCACGCCACGCTGTCATCGGAAGTAACGTCATACGCGAGAATATCGAGAAACGGACAGCCAGGAAGTAGCTTCCACGATTCTTTGTCGTGGATCACCAGGTGTGTAACGTCAAAATTAATTTTATAGCGGTAGTAAGTATACCGGTAGTAGAATACAATGATTCTGAGATATTATAAGAATTGAATGTGAGAGTCTGTACATCTTAGGCCTGTAACGAGAAACGATACGAGCGTGGAGAGCGAAAATAGAAGTTTAAATGACGTTGTTGTCACAGCATCGCCCGTGTACGTAGCGCCCAAGACTCCGAAACTGAAAAAAGGCGAAGCGATCGATTATCCAGTCGGTTCAAGGTAAATTCAGATATTGACAGCAACGAATGTATTACTAATCACTAATAGCCTATTGTGTTCAATTTATCATTAATTACTAATAGCCTATTGTGTCTATGTATAGATATTCGACGCTGGATCGTGAAATGATAGCCAAACTGGACGCGAGCAAGAAACGAATTCAACAGCGATTTAATGTCCCTGCGGCTGGACTCTTCATCAAAGACTCTTACGTTCCCGCAAACGGAAGACCGCAGAAAGGAGCGAGTACGTCAAATGCGGAAAGTTCTCCGAGCATAAACTCATCCGCTTTTTCCGGCCAGATCTTTCCTGGCATATACGAATACAGTCCAACGAACCCAGACTCCGATGACGATGACGAATCACCGATGTCTAAACCAATAATCAGCAAATATCCACCTGCACCTATGGATGAGGTACGTATATAAATACATATTTCATTATCATTTCTATTAACGGATAAATGAATAAATTATTCATGCCATTGCTCATATCTTTTGAACACGTTCAGAAAATTTCTTGTTCGAATCTCATCGCATTATAGATTCCGGATTCCTACAAACCGCCGCCAAACAAATATCACGCCAGTGGCGAGCACGAAATGGATTACCCAAATTTTGAAATAACTTCCTCATACGAAAATAACGGACCTGGATCGAAACCTGCGAAATTTGCGAATCATCACGACCATTCATCTTCATTCATAGAGGATCCATACGAGCACGATCACCACGATTTTCATCACGACGTGATTTACGATCATATACCCGTGTATCATGAGCATCATCCCACAACGGAAGAACCAGAAATGAACGATCAGCGACTTGACAAAAGGCCCTACTCGTATTACTTCATAGGAAAGAAGCTTTGGTATATACCATTGTATTTCAGCATCTATCTTATCATATACATAGCGGCACTCGTACTGAAAAGCGTCGCCCGACACAAGATCAATCTTCCAACTCGGCTGGACGAGGCCGTCCATCACCGCGATAGACGCGAATCTAGCGAAGGATGGTGGTATTTTACTGAAAGAATACTCGAAGGGATTGAACGATTTGCTGAAACGTCCGGTATAATTCCTGAACATTGAATAAATGGCCTGAAGAAGGTCCCCTAAGAAAAAATCAAATATTTTTATTAATGATTTGCCGCTGAAATACTTGTGTGTTCAAATACTTCTGAATACAAAGCGATATAGATGATATATAGAGATAAGTTCATGATACATAAGATATTGTTAAGAATGCTTACCATTGATAAATATATAATTATTTATAAGATAAATGCATATACATTATATTTGTCATTTATTTTAAATAAAGCAGTTGTGTTAGACAATATACAATAATTATGTAAAAGTTACAAATTATATTATATAGATTTAAGTAAATTATATAAAAATAATTTTTAGCTACGATTTTATTTCTGTACTTATTACTATTCCGCCATAATCAATTTGTTAACTGTATTTATGTTAATCATTTACTTACAAATGAATACACGATACTTACACACAGATCCTTGCAAACATAATGCTTAACAATTATAAGTAAATATACGATACTGATTACGATATTATTGATGAATTTATTCGTTATTGTGACAAAATATTTCATAAATTCTTTAATTTGCTTCTCAGATTCTTACGAAGAAAAGTAATAATAATTAGATAAGCTGAAAACTAGATTTTTGCAATTATTTTTGGCTCCTCAATTTTTTTAAATTCCTGAATTTTTATTAGTTTGCTTTATTAGTAAAAATTTGTATTTTTTAAACTTTCATAACGTATGCCACACATACACACACACATATCAAAATTTCCAGTACATTATTAAAATAATTTGTAAGACATGGTATATACATTATATACAACTCAAAGAAAAATGATCGTTAATAGGTACATTGCAGTTACTCACCAGTTTACAATATTGTGCCAACGGGATCGGCCTAAAAGCGTGCTAATGACTTACTGAGAAATCTGTTCGGTTATAGCAAAAAAGTTTGCTTAACCTGTTTAGTGTTAAACGATAACAGGCCTGATCTATTCCAAATTTCATTGACATTTTTGAAGCATACATGTATAATCACAAATATTTGACAAATATCGAAACGCAATACATGTACTTTCATATAAAGAATAAGTTAAAACATTTTATCATTTAGCATTAAACAGGGAACTAAGCAGACTTTTATGCTGTAACTGAATAGATTTCTCATTAAGTCATTACTTTTAGACCGATGGCAGCTTAATCACTAACTACATTAATTTTAGGAATCGCTAGGAGATAACAATTCGCATCGTTTAGAAACAATCGATAAAATTTAGTGATACCAAACGTTTTGACGGAATCGACGGAAGCGACGATGCAAAAGATCTGTAACAATTAGAGTAATTAGCGCTTATGAATTTATGTGTACTTAACGTTACTGTCGATACAGTTACCGTTGCACTTATACCGGATGAAGCTGCTAGTGAAACTAGGTCCAGGAATCGCATTCAGTACATCAGACGACCAAAGGTTTTCCACTTCGGAGCTTTTCTGCCGATGCTACTTCCAAATACCGAACTTTTTATCGCATGGGACAGAGTGTGGAATGACAAGTGTAAAGTGACATGGTGTCCATCATGTGTTTTAAAAGACGAACCGTGCAATATATCTTAAAGATTAACATGGGTTAGTATTACTTTATATTAAAAAGATACGAATGCCGTGTATGAAAGCAAGTAGTCAAATTCTACTACAAATACAGAAATATAATAGAATCTGTTAACAAAATGTAATGATAGCTAATTCATTGCAGAAATCGCGAGCGCGGAGTCTGTCATTTCATAATCATTGACGGTAATTTATATTTCACTTGTATGATTATAAAATGATAGATTCTACTGGCAATCTGCTGTCAGATTATGTCGATAGACTCTACGGGCGGAATACGAGTTCAGTGTGAATGTAGTTGACGTTAATCCGCCGCAATATCCTGCTCAAACTTGCTAGCGTAGATGCTAATGTATTGCTAGTACGTTGCTAATATTTTATACTTGTTAGAAAAGTATCGATGTGTTTCCGACATGTTTATTAAGAATTGTACGCAATTTTCATTATCAGGGTGTCTATCTATAAGTAAATGCCATTTAAAATAAGTAGGAGATACAAAAAGAACGCAAATATATTTTCTTTATTATTTCTTTAAAAGCTGATAAGGCAAAAAACATTATTTCCTATATTATTTAAATAAATAGAACACTATATTTTGGTTTGTTAGTTAATGAAAGCATTTTCTACTATATACTTTCATGGTACTACAAAAATATAATGCTCCATTAAAAAAATATAAGATAATTTTAATACACACACACAATCTAAAAAAATTCAAAAAACAAAATTTATTTGCATTATTAGATACGGTTTATCAAACGATACTTATCTAAAAACACCATGCATATGAATAATATTCTAATTTTATAGAATCAATAAACAGTCGATTAGTCTGCAAGTTTGTTCTGTTGTCGATTTGTATTTATCACGCATCTGGTGACATGAGTCTAGAGAATGCAGAAGGATTGATTTCGAAAACAGAAACGTCTACAGAAAATCTTGAATTAGCTACAATCCCGCAATCTATCAGGTAAATATCTATATAAATTCAATTCCTTATTGATCTTAGAGTGAGACCATTTAATATCAGTTTGATATTTCCCGTTTCTATCAGTGTAGATTAACTTTAATCTTGATTCGACCTACTCTTCATCTTTTTCTAATTCTTAGAACTATATATTATACATACTTATAACTAGAGAAAAATGAAGAGTTAATTGAACCAAGATTAAACTTGATGAACTACATTGTTTATTAGAAACGGATATAAACAAACTATAATTTGCATCTCGAGAATATCTATAAATCAGAATAAAATTTTATCTACAACTTTATATGCTTAGGTATATTTCAATGTACATACATGTAATTAATTATTGTATTTTATACGTAACATATGTATATTCTGATTGAATTGTTTTTCTAAATTATGCAATACAATTATAAATAGGATAGTATTTCGTGAATTTTAACGCAAAATTTAAATTGCAAGTGTAGTTTGCTACAATCGCTCCTAATGTTAATTTCAATTGCGATATATTTTAAAAGCGCAATTTTTAATGTGAACATAAGAAGGAAATTAAATCGATGGGAATCAGTTTAATTGACAAGACTAGCATTCTTGCATTCTTTATTATTCTGCATAACGCTAAACCACATATTATCTACAGAAGCAGACGAAACAGAGCGCATAGATGGGATTACAACACTAGAGGTGACAACACCGATCATCAAACCCACGATCACGATGAAGACATAAATGACGACGAGCACGATCAGACAAAAGCGATGGATCGACCTAAGACTGATTACTGGGTCGGTTATTATGATTTTTTGATAAACGAAGGAAGCTACAAATTCTGGGCCGTCTTTCAGGTAATAATTCTACGACTCGATCTCCTGATTTTTTTTCCGGTTTTAATCATATGACCTTGATTTAAATACACGTGTTATTATATTTTTCAGCTCGCGACTGCAGCTCTTTTGGTCTACAGTGCTTTCGCAGCTCTCTATTATGCCAAAGTGAATCCACAGACCACGGACGATTATTTCGATGATATATTCCGCCGACGACGAAGAAGACGCCGCTCCCTTCCGCTCGAGGCCCGAGACAGACCCTTCGCCGGACTCGACACCGTCACGTTCCAAAGGATAATTGAGGCCGTCGAACGAGCACGTTGATTACCGTTTCGATTATTTCTTTAACAAAGGAAGATTACATCATACAGTGATAAATAGAAATAACTAAACGATCAAATACACTGAGGAATTTTGATGAGACGAGTCTCTGAAAGTGCGAGGAAAAAACGGCGTGAGATACGAAAATGCAATCGACCTCGTATTTCCTGGAAACAGGTGATTGCTTCTAATTAGCGCGGAATTAGCGAGCATAATGTAACACTTATATTTATAAGAAGTCTTTACGGTTAATTCTGAAAGTTACTAATTTAACGGTGTACATAGTATAGAATTCAATGTGTGCATGTGTACATGTGTTAGTGTTAATCCACGCACGATATATTTGTATAGAGATATTAAGATTGAAATGTGCGTCAAATAAAAGAGAGTATCGGAAAGGTTAACCGCGGACAGAAAATAGATAACGAAAATAAAGGACAAATAGTTCATGTCGGCAAACAGTCGTTTTGGAAGGTAATCAATTAAATTAAATTGGCGACAACTCGCATGTATTACGTGTTCGGACTCGACCGAAGAGAATAAGCCGTGGGCCCGAAAGCCTTGAGGCCGGCTTGAACGCGGTGGATGGCTTGGTGGGTAAATATATGCGCTATGGGATCAAAACGTAATAAAAATCTGCCGAAAAAATGTCAATCGATAAATCAGGTATGACACGGCGGCGGCGAACCGCAGCACGGATCGTCGTGCGACGCCGATGTCACACGCGATGATGCTCCTTCTTCCTATCCTTCGTTATAAATACATATACATATATTAGTTATAAAAAAAAATAATTTTGTTGAAGTATCTAAACATTTACTTACATCAGCAAATAAATATTTACTCGATGAAACAAAGATTGTCGAGTCAAATTTTAATGGTTCTTATACTAAATAAATGTACAATCTTTACATTTAGTAAATATTTGTTCGGTACTGTTTAAACAAATGATTTATTAAAAGTTAGTATATTTTTTCAATGTATTGTAGGTAGAGATCTGAAAATAATTGTGTAAAACGCTTAAACTAATTGCTAGAATATGAAATACTTTTTGCAACATTATAGAATCATCAAACTTTCTTGCTACATGATTATTTTAATAATATTAAATATAATATAATTATATTCAAATCCATGTCGGGTCTAATTTTTAGATATTTCTCATCATTTCTCATCATCTGTATACACTATATATACACGTATTATACATACATATATTTATAGAATAGACACGCTGAATAAAAGTGAATTTTATCATCGAATGAAAAGAGTAACGTATATATAATTGAGAGATTCCAAGAGTCTTCCGGGTCCACATCAGAGGCCACATCTGTACAATATCGCAATCTGTTAGATCGTCCGTTTAATGGACCGAATGCGGCAAAATGTTGGAACTTCAAAGGAAGATGCACACAGTTAACAGAAAATTATTCGAATTTTGGGGGAGAAGAAGTGGGAAGAGAAAAATCAGGAAGACAAGCGGCCCCGCTCGATACGGCCCTGTAAAGATCACCCAGAGCATCTTACCGGCACGACATTCCGCCACGTAGTCAGCTGCAAGGGATACCTTAAGCGCAAGTACGGCAATCTTACCGGGGGACCGGATGCCGCGTCCAGGCGCGCGCGGGGAGGATCGGCGGCGAGTCGCGGGAACTGCCATTCCCGCGCGATAAGGAGAACGCGGCGCAGCCACGCGGCGGCCGGCGGTGTGTCGTTTTCTCTTTTTCTGTTTCGGCAAAATTTTTACAGATAAATCTTCGGTGGATGAAGGGAAACGACGGAGGATTACGCCCGTCCGAAATCCAGACCGCGGGCGATAAAAAGTGTTATTTACAGCTCCTCGGTACGCCGGCGCGGCCACCATCGATAATTTCCACCGGCCGTTCCTACGCGCCGCTCCCGCGAGCGATCGGAATAATAATACGCGATAATAATAGTGGGATTAACCGACGTCGCGGACATTCCTGTGTCGAAAATTTTCATACCCTCGCTTCCAAGATATCTGAACCAGCTTCTGTCGATATACATCTGCCAATTTTTGCGAATATGGATATTATAGAATAAATATAGTGGAACTTGAGCATACTATTCTCAACGCATTAAGATCGAGCAGCCACCTTACTCTTAGCACTTTCTCGTCAGTCTTGTTCTAATTTTACTATATAACATGTACGAATAAAGATGTCATTAATCAAAACGTATACATTGTCAAGTAGCAAATCTATTTGAGATAGCGAGAGAGCATGTAAGAAAAGATGCTAAATATAAGGAAGTTAAAAATGCTGAGATCTAATTATATCGCGATATTGTAACGTAATGCAGGCCTGAAGCATGTCTGGTCTTTTACGATGAGCATTTCTCAACGTCTGCTGAAAAATTTTGCAGAAAATTTATTATTAAAACTTTAATGTAACCAGAATTTTTCGAATACCAACTCAATTTTGATTGAAGGAAGAAAATACTGAACTTGTATCGACGATCTTTCAAAGCTCGTTGCCTGCAGATAAGGACCATTATTTATAATTTAATGATAATCTTTGATCAAAAATTCTTTGCCGATCATGGCTGAGCTCTCTTCCCTGTTTCTTTTCTCCCTTTTCATTTCGTGCTTGCTCCCTCTTCATTCAAAACGATAACAAGCATTTGAGTAATGACATATCGGCAAACTTGATTATAACATAGGTTAGTATTTTAATATTTTAGTGAAATTGTTTTACATCATAAACTATCGTGCTTTAAATTAATCAAAATAAAATTTGTATATTTTAGATTTTAAAATTATACGAGAAAAATATTGATATAAAGATTATAATAATTTTCTTCTCTCTCTCTTTTTTTAGAATATACTGACATATATGATACGAAAACTACTTTATTTTTATTCAAATATTGTGTACATTTTATATTTTGTAATGACATTATTGTGTAATTCTTTGAACACTTTAATGTAGATACAATTTAAAACAATCAGATGGCACTAAAATTTTAAAACTTGTTGAATAGTTATTTTATACGAGACTTTATAGTCGTCAAAAATTCTTGAGATAAAAATTACAATATCGGTGTATTAACTTTATGTTAGACCTAAGAACAAAATTGATTGCGTAATAAGTGCTGTAAATACATGCACGGTTTAACCGGTGAGATACATGGGATACAATTTTATACTGCATGTGTCCACCGTGGAAAATCACGGGATCACAAGATTCGCTACCGTTAGCTAAATAATAACGAGATAAGACAACGGTAATCTAGGCATCATTATTAATAAGGGCGCGAGCCGTCTAATAAGTAGCATTATTGCGTTGCTCCACCTGACATGCAAACAGTGAGATTACGCAGAACTGTTGTCTTCGTAAAATTATTGTATTAATAAAATGAGTGTGATGGTTTACCATTTTATTGTTCGTAACATGAATTATAATTCTGTAAACAAATAAATATATTTCTAATGTAAATACGCGATTAATGCTTTTTTTCAATATAAAACATGTAACTAGTGTAATATCTCTGCATACGAAATTATATATATATTTATATTATTTGATATTTTTTTATTATCTATTTTATTATCTTTTTTCTTTTTCTTTTTTTTGTATTGCTCGTGCTAAAAATATTATATATATGAAAAAAATAATTGCTGAGATATTAAAAATTTTAAATAGATCTGAAAATAATTTTGTGAGGACTATTAAAATAATTGTGTAAAAATTAATCATGATGAACAATGCTGTAAAAGGTTTTGACATTTCAACAATCAACTTGACCGTCCTACTTAATTATTTTAATGATCCAACAAAATTATTTTCAGATCTGTATCTAGCTATTATAGATTTTTAAATACTTCAGCAAAACTGTTCTTTTGCATATTTTACTTTTTGTGTTATCATATTGTTATTCTGCGCACGTTAATAGATCAATAATAGTGAATAAATACTATATGTATAAAAATATAGATATATAAGAGAATATTTGGTTTATTATAATTTATTTTGAAATATGTTTGTAACACATATCGAAATCTCTCTATGCAGCGCTCGAGATCTATGCGAGCATTGAAATCTCTTTGACGGGCCATCATTCTTCGAGAGTACAGTGTACTTTTTTACGACTTTTCGCTACATATTCTTGTAGAAAGAAACATTACGGTAAAATAATTGGATTTTATGAGTATGTTCGACTCTTTCGCACTTTTCAAGATGACAAAAAATGTTAGTTGTATCATTGCTCCGGTCGTTTAGTTACGAAAACATGGTAGTTTTCTCAAAAATAGTGCAGATTTACAATGTAAAGCACCGTAACCGTGGGAATACGTAAAGTCAGCGTGGGGAATTCGTTGGGATGATGGTGTGTAAGCCGAATATATATATACCTGGGACGCGCGACGTGAGAGACTTGGCCGAACGGGAAGAACGAAGATGAGGAACGGCGGTACCTCAAGATCTCAGATTGTCAGTTGGTGGTCAGCCGTCACGTAGAAAGGACGTGGTGGTGTGTCCCGCTTGCTTCGTCGCGCTTCACCTTGCCCGCGCTTCACCTCTTCTTGCTTCGAATCGCATCTCGGAAGAAGCATCGCTTGCATGGACGCTTCATGTACGTGCTCTCTTCGAGAAATCAACAAACGCGATATGATTTATACCGACTGGCTACCGGTGCGCGGGTCAATAATTCGTTCATATAAGTAAAATTTTTTTTTTTCAACAGCTAATAATAGTTTATTATGAACTACCTCAGTACATTGATCGAACAGTTAATAATTAGCAGATGAACGCAATCAACTGATTAATACAAGTAATTTGCGACTTAGAGAATATATTCCAAGTTACTCCGCATTGGCTTAACGGTATCTTCGGACATCGAAAAGTGCATTCCCCTGCAACTTTGAGGAATACCGCACATACGATTACTTTTTTGGTCCCGTACGTTGATCCATTAAAAACGTTAATTATTGTCTAATCGAGCCTGCAAAAGAATACCTTAAACGAAATCTGGCTTTATTAGCGAGTCTAATAGCAGTTATAGAGACAGCAGCATCTCTTTTTTACAATGAGAATGCGAAGAATGCTTTGACACGATCAGCCTCCACGCGATTATCGTCATGGTGCACCATCGTGGAATGTCATAAAAGCTAAACTCCGAATCTCGTGGGAAACAACGTACATCACGAATATAATTCGAAAGGAAGTAAAAACTCAAAAATCCAGACGATGACTTCCATGTGTGGCAGCGGAAAGAGTCACGCCGTGATGAATTCTGGCAGTTATTACAGACCTAGTCCTTTTGCTTATCAAGTAAGTCTTATATTACATTTATATTCTAAAAAAAATAGAGCAAAACCACTTAATTTTAAACTTGACTTAAATCAGATTAATCTCTTTTTTGTATATTCCTAAGGAGTATTCAATTGTTTTTTTTATAAAATTTTATAAATAATCTTGACAAGTATAATTACATTTACGTATATAATAAGATCATCTATTTTATAATGAGAGTGAGATTGTGACAAAAAATACGATTTCCTGTTTTGTCGAGTCTACTTTTTTATTGTAAAATGCTTTACAAGTTAAGTGGACTCGACAACATCAAAACACGTTTCTTCACTAAGTAATTTTCAATTTATATCGAAGGAAAAAGGAATCTTGATCATTATAACATATTTCGATTTAATAAAATTTTATCACCTTTATATAAGATATCTTTTAAATATTATGTATTATATTAATTAAATTAGTAAAAGTTATAGTTATCTAAAATTCAAAATGAATAATCATTATTTATATCGGCACAGTGATTCTATCAGCTTATATGAATTGTAAAAAAATGTAAGTAGTTAACTCAGCAAACTTGGACGCCGATGAAAATGTATACGAGTTTCATTGAAGAATAAAATTGTAACTAAACAAACAGACAGGATACACGTTTTTTACATGTTTATTATTCAAAAGTCGGTATTCATAGTCGGTTATCTTATTTTAAAACCGTTTTAAGTAATATCTTGATGCTAAAATGACTCTTTGATTAGCTTATGATATTTTAAGACTGTACCTAAAGAAGTTTCAAATTTAAGAATTAACTATGAATACCGACCTCTAAGATAATCTTAAAATAAGAACGGACTGTGAATATCAACCTTAGAGTAAATTGTCACTTTAAAAAATAAAATTAGATCGATATATTTATAGTCCGCTCTTATTTCAAGACCGTCTTAAGTAATGTTTTAAGTCGCTAATATGACCCTTTAATTGGTTCGTAACATCTTCAACTGTATTTAAGACGATCTTAAATATAACATTCGACTACGAATACCGACCTTAAAGACTAAGATATTTGAGCTTTTTTTTTTCAAGACTAGCTCAATTTTTATTCTTTAAAATAAAATTTCACTCCAAAGTATTTAAAAAGTATAAGATAAAATATATAAAATGATATTTAAATACAGCGTTAAACTTTATCATTTCTCACGAAAAATCTATATAACTAATCTGTAAAAATTATGAAAATTGCAATTTAATGGAGCTTAATATATATTAAGAGTGATTTTCACTATGTGTGAAAATTTGTCTAACGAATGGATAGGAAGACGTAGGTCAATTCCTTTATAATCACTATATAATATGTGTATATAGATTTTACATCATGGAAACCTTCACCTTGCCTTGCATGAAAGCATTATATAATTTTATTCAGAGACATGGTCATGTCTCACGTTCACGCGCAACGGCGAGACAAGACCGTGTGTCTTTACGCGAGACAGCAAACTTCAATTATGGCATCCAATATAAGGGGGGATATTCCCCACACTTATATTTATGATCCTTGGCTCCCTACCTGTTTTTGTTATCTCTCCTTTTGTATCTTCTTTTTATTCATTTAATAGGAAGTTGAAGTTTTTTAATCGTTATCAAGAAATACACCTGTGAGCTCATATTTTTGTATCCTTTAATGACAGTATCGGTATTGTTATATTTAAATCGTGATACAGTTTCTTTCAGTAAAAGAAGCTATGCAACGATAAATAAATGATACCAACTGAAATAAAAAATGCGACAAGATAAGCAAATGTATATATAATGAAATTTTTACACATATACAACTGTTTTAATAAGCATCCCAATGAGAAATAACAATGGAATCGACATCGAATTGATTCGACGTCGATTCCATAGTCATTTCTCACTGGAATGGGGTCTATGAATCCCTAATTTCGTGAAACTAGTAATCCATTTTATTTTTATATATTTGAGACGTTTCCTCTTGTACACAATATTAAATAAAAAATATTTAAATTTCAACGGATTTTAACTTCATTTACTTATCTTACGAATTATTAGATACACACATCCTACAGGCATTCTTTTCGTTTTAATAAGTTTTTCCTTTTTATGCCAAAACCCACATCCCACACCGGCGCGGCGCCGTTCGCTTAATTGGCTGTTTAAACCCGATCGTTCGCAACCCGTACACAATGGTACCGTTATCAAGTCAACGACTGTGAGCGATAATTGCGACGATAGCGATGCACTTTACTCGCGGTAAATTGTATTACGTGCGATAACCATCCCTGATGAGATGCACCCTCGCAGCCGAGAAACTGGAATATGAACTCAAATCGTGTGGCGAGTAATACTCAACGTATCATCAGAAAGAACGGATCTCCCGCATGTATTGATTGTACGCATGCACGCAACGTTTGCGCTTACGCTAACGATTATGGATAATATTTGAATTGCTCATCGCGCGCACGTTTAGGCTGCCCCGGAACATTAGCCGAATGTTAATTAAGTCTCTTCGTTAATGAGCCGCGAGGTGAACTATGATGAAATATAATATATAGGAATTACGTGTCCAGGTAGACGCCTTTATCTATCCTCAGAATTACTATAATATAACTGACAGTTAGGTTCAACGTACCTGAAATATGAATGTATGACGGTATATTATTATAAAAAAGTGTCTCATCATAAAGAGAAAATAATTTAATAGCAGTCCTGTGATGAGTTGAGCGTTGACAAATCTTGGCCTCTGAAACTTAAATTAGCAATAATATTGTAAAAGTGTTTTTAACTGATTCTCGAAGATACATGGAGATTCAGTTTTAATTTTATATCATTACATAAAGTAACTTCAAAGATCCGTATAATAAGTATTGTAATTTAACCTTGGAAGCATAGAATACGGCGAACGATGATTTGTCTGCCACTTTTCTAATCGAATTATGTAAGTGATTGTAATCTTCAGTATAGGCGGAAAAATTTTTACTGATATGAAATCTCGCGGAAGTATCGCGAAAATATCCATATAATGGAACAAATTATAACTGTATTCTCAGTATTCTCTCTTTGTCTTTTTCTTACTCTCTGTGCATTCTTGAGAACTTGACTTGGTAAATTTAAACGCGGGAACAACATTGCCAGTAACGTTTATGAAATACTAATGAGCGATTATATAAAATAATCCAATGATATGTATCCACAAAACAAACGGAGGAAGTTCCCATATACGTACTCTTCTGCTTTAGATATCATCGTATTTCCTCGAGCAAAGCTCGCGTGAAGTTTAAGCTTTTGGTGTGAGGAAATTCTTGCGTGAAATACGAACTAAGAACGCGGTAATTCAACTCGTTGTCTATTGTATTGTTGAGATATTTGCGCATATCGTAAGGATCGTGCGAGAGCATAATCACAAGAACGATGGTACTGACAATGTCTTTCCAACTGATTTGCCAACGCCCGCACATTCGATCGATTCCTCTTGCAAGAACCTCTCCGAGTCGATTTAAGATCGTATAAAGTATCTGCGAAATGTTCTCCATTTTTTGCGCGATACGTAATCGACACGTAATCGGCACGTTTTTTAAATACCCAAGTATGCCCATATTATTTGTGAATGAAATCATACTTTATGGCTTGTATTGTCCGGCACGGTAACGTAATGTGAGCTTCGCAAGGCCCGGCCCTGGACAGGCGTTACGATCTGTGTGTGTACCAGTTCCAGGTATACGCACGTTCCTAGGGACCCTTATTAAACCAGACAAGGACGAGAGTTGCGGGAGCGTCCTTGAAGGATCTTTGCACTCGGCAAAGTTGCTTATACTCGCATCTTCTCGCGTTTTCTTCGTACTGCCCCTACGAAGGCCGCGCATTGACTTCGTCCAGGTCATGGTACGCATACGGACACCGGCACCTTCCTCAAACTTATTATTCGCGGACCGAGGTCAAATTTCTTAACCGTCCTCAAATATTAGACCCCGTGTTCTTCGCTGCATTATTAGCAGAAGTTTTCGCAATGTGTTTCTATCTTCTTCACACCATAGCAATATATCCATGACAGCCTTGTTTCTATCATCCTCCGTCGTTCTTTAATTACCTGAATCCTTGGCGAATGGTTGACAGTTAGCAATCTGAGTGTCATTTGAAATTATTTATATAGTTATAAAGTTTTCATAAGGCGGCGGAGGTAACAGCCTTTTCAGGAATCGCATAGCTGTTACCACGCTTTGTGATCCACATAGTTGGATATGCTCGGCAACGCTACTTAAGTGCCGCCGAGGATTATTCTTACGGCTTGCATCTTTGAAGAATATGAGAGGAAATGGTAAAAAAGATAAAAGGATACACTAAAAAGATAAAACGATACACTGAAAAGATAAAGGAATATACTTAAAAGGATATACTAGAAAAAATATCGTAGATACAATTCAGGAGCGCTAAAACAGTTTTCTTTCTGATATTTAATTTAAGAATTGCTTTTTTGTATTTGAAAAATTAAGAAAGATACGCGTAGAAATATTTTTTTACAAGTAATTTAAAAGAAAACCGAAATCTAAAATAATTACAATGTATATGTAATATTTAATTAGCGAATATTTTTCTCGTTTGTAATAGTACTTTCTGAAAGAAAGTAATCGTTGATCAAATAATGAAATGATAATAGAATCAACACGACTTTAAAGTAAGATTGTATACTATTAGCAAAATAACATGTCATCATGCGCTAATTTGCCTATGCTTTCATGGATCAGCAACTTCGATACAATACTTTGAAAATTAAATAGAAATTGTTAACAATAAGTAAACTTCTTTCTGCAAATTTATTTTTACAACTTTTATAGAATATTGATTTTAAAGATGTAGAAAACAAATTATGCACTGCAAATCTTTTATCTATGTAATTTCAACATCATAAGAGAAATATAAATAAATAGCATGCAATAAATTAAAACTATATCACGCTTCATATTATCTACGCTACCGTGGCGTAGATTGATAATATCACCGTCACGATAATAACGACACAATCTGAAACAAAAATTGCAAATCTGTTTCACGCTTATTTCACGAGCACATATTTAATTCAATAAAGTAGTAAACATGAACATGATGTATTTTAAGATCATTTCATAAAATATCGATAATTTTTAATACACTTTAATTTTTTAATACATTTCAATTTTTAATACACAGTCGATAAATTTTTTAATACACTTTAAATATTGAATAAAGTTAGCGCAATACCCGATCTTTCTTATTTTATAAATAATTCGAGCAATAACATGATATATGTAGAATAGCATGCTCATAACTACGCCTAATAAAGAAAAATAAGGAACAAACGTCATACAGGATATTTTTTATGAAATCGTAACAATCTATAAACTTCTAACGGTTCCCTCTTTATATCTGGACATCGCAATTCGATACGGTCGATTTCATTGGTGCATTCGAGATTCCACCTGTTTGAACAAGATGCGGGGACGCGTATAAAATTTATGTCTTGCACTAATAATTTGAACGACGAACGCAAACAGAATTTATCTTCATAAATACTTCGAAATTCTAAGCCAAAACATTTTCCGAGATTCTCGTTTTAGTTACAAAGATAACTTATTGTCACTGCAAATTAAAATTGTTTTTAGATATTTCTTGCGGTAATATAAAAAGTTTTCTATTAAAATAATACAAACATTGAAAACATTTTTCAATAGAAATATTATCACTATTAATTCGCACCTCCGCAGATGAGATACAGCATCACAAGCGCGTATTGTGATGTTTTAGACAACCTTTAATTAATTAACACTTAGGATCCGCTAAAAACTAAGATTCTTGGAGGTCGACATATCTAATTTACACCGAAATATTTGTTATTTTATATCTAACAACTTTTTTTTTCTTACGAGCTGGTTAAAGCTGTTTAATCATTTAATTCATCGGAAGCAACCGGAAACATCGATAATATCGTTTAGATCTTACGAGGAACATTTAAACTGTTTCGACTTTTATGAGAGCAGCCATGCTTGAAAATGCCGACACTTGCGTATGGCACATTTACCGCTAGACGAAATATTATGAATTTTCTACGCGATCCCGTCCGACAAGTCGAGCAGAGCTGAACGTGTTATTTCCATCTCGACACTGAAAATTTCTTCTTATCCATGCATTCCGTGCCGCCGGTGGTACCGTTAACAGGATTACTGTACACGCTTGTATTTATAGCATATAATATTATTCAGCGATAAGTCGCGTGCCACCTGTCTCGCTTCGCTACGAATGTATACTAGATAAAAATAAAGGACATTAAGAAATTACTCCTTACAAAAAATAAAAAAATACTCTGCGCATGTGTTGATCGAAAAACGTATTATATAAGAAAATATCATTATAGTATACGTTTTGTTATGCAATTGTAATAACAAATTGAAAAATTTGTAAAATTTTATACTATTTTAAATTATCTTTCAAATTAAGATTTAAAAATATGTAGTTTAATCATTGAGAAACAGTCACAATAGATAAAAAATAATATTAAAATTAATGATCTTCGTTACAGAATGACTACTATTTATCGCCAAGATCACCTTGGTCCAGAACATCAATAGCACGAAAAAATGATAATACCACATGGAGGTTTGGCAGTGCCATGTTAATTATCACAGCTATGTTAGTCTTGGTCGTAGTTCTGGCAATTGCTGGATTAGCTCTATGGATGGGTGGTACGTTGAATGTTAAATTTGTCATCCGTTAAGTTTAAATGTTATATAATCATAAAAGTTTCGGGTATGTAAAAAAAAGTTACAAAGGTAGAAAAATAAAATTAGTAACTTCTGCAAATTTTTATCCTTTTCCAATTAAATTTAAAATAAATTTAATAATAAATTATATAAAGTTTTAATTGTTATTATTTAAATGTTCCAGCTTTCCGTACAGATTCTAAAAATGGTGAGTTTTCTATATTCGAGAAACAATAATAAATAACGTAATACCTTCACGTTTTAATCATACGTTTCTCGATTGTAGCTATCATCGGATTTTCATGTAGCATGAGAATAGCAAGAGGCGAGAGGTATAATCCCATGTTAAAACTTAACACAAGCATGGTCTTCCGAGAAAAAGAACGAAAATTCAAAAATATTGTAAGCAAAATATATTTCAAAGTTTTTTACTACGCGTGTATAAAAAAGGAAATCTCTTAAAAATCCAATATATTACTTACAGTTCGAGCTTCTATTTAGGAGAAGCGTGCTCGGTTTATCTTACAAACAAACCATGATAGACAAATTTGAGAATGGGACTTTGAAAGTTTTCTTTAGATTATACCTCGATCGAAGGAAGATACCACGATCGATCGTAAATATTGAAGACACCATCCAAGACATTATTGCCAAGGAAACATACTCAACATCATCATTATTCAAGGATATGGAATTAGATCTCACGTCCATATCAGTGAAAAGTGAGTAGCGATGAGAGAGAGAGAGAGAGAGAGAGAGAGAGAGAGAGATGAGAGAGAGAGAGAGAGAGAGAGAGAGAGAGAGAGAGAGAGAGAGAGAGAGAGTTTAATGAATCAATTTTAGGTCAAACTGCATAAAAGTATTAAAATTACATATTAAAATCTTAACTCTATAGATTTTCGTATTTCTGCTACTCATTTTCTCGCATCGTTCGTTCAGAATTCTTCGTCTTTATTCTTTATTTTTACTTTTACTTTTCATTTAAATTCTTTTTATTTTCGTTATTATACATTAAACTTTCCTTCATTTTTTTACAAACATGTTTTGCTTATCATTCTTCCTCTTACGCATTATATTTACACAACATAATTCACAAACTCTATCTATTAGATTCTAACAAAAATTCGTTTAGCTACAAATATTGTATTTCATATATTCACAAAATCCAAATCGGAAATCGAAACCGTTTAAATCAAAATTGCTTATTGCTTCAAATATTTGTTCTTGATAAAATAAAGTCAGTTTCGAAGTATTAATCTTTGTAAAAATTCCAGGAATAAATCAAGAAAATATCGTGAATCAGAAACAAGGACAGCAGAAACATACCATGATTACCAAAAATGGTTTATTACGACCAAATAGAAATAGCAGCTTGATTATGAGTTCAAAATCAAAAACAAAACCAACCAAGACCGACAGCGAGCCAAATATAGACTTCAATAACATCCCAACTATCCAGGGTACCTACAGAGCAACGAAAGTTAATATTACTACAGAAAATTCGACTAAAGGAATATTCGAGCCAATGATAGATAACAAAGGATTAGCCACTACTAAGAGAACGCCATTGCAAAAACATACCACGACGTCAGAAAAAGTACTCAGTCACGTAGAATCTTCGCCAACGAATGAACCTTCGACGTTGTTCACGAAATCCACGGTAGCTGTGGCCAATAAGGATAAATTAAACGACAAACAGGAGAATGAAATGAAAACTACGTCTTTAAGAACCACAACCATTCGAAGCGATTTGGAAATTTTCAAAGATTTCCTCAATCCAGATTTTGAGAACAATTCACCATGGAAACCGATCGTGCCGGGATATATAAATACGGAATTTAAGTTGTTACCTAATGACAATGTCAGAGAAACCAATTATACGGAATCAACCGTTTCGAGAACGAATAATTTTCGTGATAACGTAAAAATGCCTAATGATGGAAGTAACACAACATCAACGGTACCAAAGTTAACATTAAGTTCTGTCAACTTTCGTGATGTTTCCGAGATAAATACCTTTGATATCGATAACACTGATTTTCCGCGAGATAGGATCGATCCAGGTCTAACTAAATCAAACAGTCATGAGAAATTGGACATTGAAGTCGCTGGACAGCTGCCTTCGGAAATGTACAGTGTCAAATTAAAGACTTCATCATATGATGGCAATGAGAAAATAACTTCCAACTCTGAGAGCTCGATGACGCGCGGAGTCTCCGGAAATATTTCAATAAAAGATAACGCCTTTCAAGAAATGCGTAAAGATTCAAACGCTACTCGAAAAACAGAAGTAAAATTTGATAATTCGGAATCATCGATGGAACCTGACGACATATTCGGATCACGTAGTGACGAGAGAATCATGAACGACTCGTTCACGAGCGGTATTGGCGTAGCAGAACCTGTGCTAGACACGGAAATCGAATTGGAAGCGAAGAATCGGTACAGAGGAAGCAGTATTCTGACCACAGATGAAGACATGTTGCGGAATAGGAAGGTTAATATTAATCAGCAACCGATTTATACGAGTTACAATACTCCTAATTTGAACGGTGACAGTCTTGGATCCAGCTTTTTGATTGAGAACCCAGCAACTACGAAACCTTTTAGGCACACAATACCCGTCGACAAAATCACGTCCGTTGTAAATTACAGTATTAATGTTCCTTTTGATAACTTGGACGCTCTACCTGTTTCGAATGACACGTCCACTGATGAAAAATTGTTTCAAGACAAAATTCTGACGCCATTACCACCAAAGAGAATCGTCGAAGTGGAAACTTCTATTGTGGAGCACGACGATACAATGGCCCAGCTGCCACAAATTACGTCGACAGAGCCAAACATCGTAAAAGGTGACAATAAATCGTATTTCAGCACAACGGAGAATTACTCAGAGCCAAAATTGATCGCCAAAGACTCGAGCGGTAAGAGAGGCGTATCAAGAAATTCAACCTTCGTCGAAATAGATACTGTCAAGCATACGCCTGGCGAATCGGAAGAAAACTGGGAATCACACGCGGACGAAGTGACAGCTAATGGTGACGAATCACAAAAGAAGAAGATTTATAACGAAACTTTGAAAGCCTATGTAGTAGAAAATCTCGTGACGTTGGCACCTGTCAAGAGCAACACTGGAATTGGTAGGCCGGTGCGACCGAGACCAAAGATCGACTCTCTTGACACAACTCTTTTAGAGCAATTATTCGGAGTGCGCAATTACACGCACGACAGAGACACAACGAATACCGAATCCACATCTGAATCTTCCTCTTCGCACAAGATCGAGAACTCTACAAACTCCGATGCGAAGAACTCAAATCATAAAAGCACTATAGTGGAACAGATAGTCGAAGTCGTGACTTCCATCAGTACCAGAGTATCGTCCAACATTAAGAGCGATCCAGTCATCTTAAAATTTATCGTGACCAATTCTACCACTAATCCAAATGTTCAGTCGGAGAAGACTTCGACGTCAAATGACGAAGCAAACAAATCACTCGAATCGACTGTCGACACAACGGAGAGGATACTCTCGTTGATCCAAAAACGGCCACTTTTATCAGCGGCAAACTTAAGGACGATGCAGACGTCGGACAGAAAAATGTCACTCGAAGAGAACAGAATACTGTTGGAGAAGCTCAAGCAACTCGCGCAAATCAAAACGAATGACGATCCTGTACAAATCACTAGAAACAACAATTCAAACTTGAACGAGATGTTGCAATCTCAAGAACACGCGCCGTTGTTAGATATCGAGGAACTGAAGAAAATCGCCGATGTTGTGACTGGAAACGAGACTCTAAAAAACGCGAGCTCGGAATTTACATTCAGTCGAGATGGGGTGGAAATATTTACCAAAATACTAAAAAAGGAAGAGGATCAGACACAAGAGACACATACAGTATCGACGATTCAAAATCTTAACAGAATTAATGGTAATTTTGCAAGCGTAACATGTTCAAGCACATAGGCGAGTGGAAAAATATTAGTTCGCAGAGCTCGGGTATAGTTTCTGTAGTTTTTTCGCTACAGTCGCATTATTAGTAAATATTAAATTTTGTTTTTATGCAGCATAAATTTTTTTCAAACTTGATATAAATTCGTAAAATCTATTTTTTTTTCTTTTTCTTATTATCTTATATTAGTAAGTGCTTAGATATTTGAATGTAAATATCTTTCTTTAGTAAAAGACCTTATATATCTATATATATATAACAATTGATAAAACTTTACAGCTATTTATATCAATTCATAAACTAAAAAAGAAATCCATAACCTGAACATTCTAATTCAGAGTATTTTACCAATTCGTTGAAAATATGATAAAATAGTATAAGAAGAATTCGTGTATTTTGATATATGTACTTACTTCTAATAAACGTATTATATTTTCGCAGATAGTTGCGATGGCTTCCTGTGCGGAGATGGAAAGTGCTTAGACTCCAGCGCGATTTGTAATATGCTGGTAGAATGTCCAGGCGCGGAGGACGAGGCTAATTGCACGTGCGCTGATTTCCTTAAAACACAGCTGTTGTATCAAAAGATCTGCGATGGTATCGCCGATTGTTGGGATTATTCGGATGAGAGCAATTGCGGTAAAATTATTTAATTCGGATTGTCACGATAAAACATTGAAACTTTAATTAAGTTTCAATTGGCTCCAATTAATTTTCAAAGACGGTCACCTAAAAATCTTCTCACGTCTTTGTTCATGTCTTACTTTTTCATTTCTTAGTCGTTTAATTTTATTTTATAGACTGGTGCGAGAAAGGTCAATTCGTATGCGGTAATAGTAAATCCTGCGTTGATACGGATAAGGTATGCGACGGTTTTAGCGATTGTCCCGGCGGCGAAGACGAAAAAAAATGTACCGCTCTGATAGATGACGAGTTAGAGGAAGACATAACTGAATCACGGATTGATCTCGTCTTGACGAAAAATTTATCGAAAAATCATTCCGAGACAGTCAAACGTCTCGATCAAATAATCGAAAAAGATAGAGAATCTACTATTATAGACACAACTACTCTATATATTCTCCCTGATGATTTCAAATCTGAAAGATTAATAAACGGCAAGGATGGCCTATCTCCGAAATTAATCAATCAGGAATCGGCTCGAAATAGAGATGTGGAGGAGACTAACATCGAAGTTGCTGTTTCCAGTAGAGAAATATCTTCGAACGTTTTAAAGAACGGTTTGATTCCGGAGAATAATTTGCATGCCAAAATTAACAGAACCGTTCCAGTAACAAAAGATTATAATAAAAAAAATAAAGAGATCGATAATTATAACAATAAAGGAATACTTAGCATACAAAAGAATGGAAAATGGGGAAAACTTTGTTTCATCGATACAAATAGTCTCACACAAGAGCAGTACGCACGCCAAGTTATGTGGTCCATCGAGGATCTTGCCAAAGCTGCATGCAAGGCTATTACGTATCAGTAAGTGATAATGCCGTCAAAATTTCGATTAACATAAATTTCTATACAAAGTCATCTCCATGTATTTATATATAACAAAATCAAATTTCTACAACAAAGCTTTTTATACTGAAAGCCTTTTAATTGTTTGCAGAGATTATGAAATGGTAGAAAAAGTGCTGGATCAAAACCCGCCATCGAATCAATTTTACTACACTTTGTCGTACAACGACAAATCAGAGCTTTCAGATAGAACAGCTTTGTCTTTCAAATCGTCCGAGTGTCCAAATGGCGAGGTTCTTAAAATAAGATGTAAAAATTTCGAATGCGGAATAAGAACTCAGGTGGCATCAACCGCGAGGTATGTCTTCTTATAAAATATTACACTAATTCTGTCCTGCGTAAAGCACGGAATTGAACAATTTAAAGCAAATTATTCCCTTTTTGTCACTACAGGATTGTCGGCGGTGCTAGTAGTTCCATGGGCAACTGGCCATGGCAAGTAGCTTTATACAAGGATGGAAATTATCAATGCGGCGGTGCTTTAATTAACGACAGATGGGTTATTAGTGCCGGGCACTGCTTTTATCAGTAAGTTGAGACATGACAATTTTTTATATAGCTTCAATACAAAGTTTTAATTTCAAAGTACTGCTTTACAGCGCACAAAATAACTATTGGGTTGCAAGAATCGGTGCAACACGTAGAGGAAGTTTCCGAAGCCCACATGAGCAACTCTTACGAGTGGATTATATATCGCTACATCCAGATTATATTGATCACATATTCCTCAATGATATAGCTGTAATAAGACTCGAACGAGCGGTTAGCTTTAGTGATTATATTCGACCAGCGTGCCTTCCGAAAGCACCGGTCCCCAGTGGGACTGTATGCGTGATCACTGGATGGGGTCAATTATATGAAGAAGGGAGGGTGTTTCGTAAGTAGGATATATCAGGAGATTCATCTTGGCAAAGGTGATCGTAATCTTACATTAAAAAGGTTTCATACATAATATAAATTCTCTATTACTTCTATTTAACAGCTGATACATTGCAAGAAGTACAAATTCCGGTCATGTCGACAGAAGATTGTCGACGGAAGACTCTATTCTTGCCACTGTACAGGATTACATCTGGCATGCTCTGCGCGGGATTTGAGAACGGTGGTAAAGATGCCTGTCTTGGAGACAGTGGTGGTCCTTTGGTATGCTTATCACCGTTCGAAAATCGTTATGTACTACAAGGTATGAAATTAAATGTTTAATAAAATGAATTTCTATTTCTTTACGTATAAATATAAATATTTTCTTGATCAGGAATCACTTCAAATGGCTACGGATGCGGAAGGAGAGAACGACCGGGCGTCTATACGAAAATTTATTCTTATATTTCATACATCGATTATGTCATCACACAGAAAGATATCCAACCTTCCGCGGTAGAGTTCTGCAAGGGTCACAGATGTCCTCTCGGAGAGTGTTTACCCAAATCACGTGTCTGCAATGGATTTTTGGAATGTTCCGACGGCAGCGACGAACGAGATTGTTCCACAATCTCGCGATAATACAAGACTGATATGTCAATATGATAATGTAAACGTTATTTATATAATATAAATAAAAATGTTAGCATAGTCCGATGAATAGATATAGTCTCATTGAGGGAAAGTTAACGCAATTGTATATATAAGTTATACGTAAAGAGATACGTCGTATCAACGTCTTACTAAACAGTACGTATAAGTGTATTTTTACTTTCTCAAGTCATACAAACAATGTTATGTTACTAATTATCTTTTCTATATACAAAAAATGTGCTAATATCAATTTGCAAACAATGCAAGTTTGATATTAATTCACGCAAGTATCTACAATGTACAATTAATAATTAAAATTTGCTTGAAAAGTATGGATTATGAACGTTTAAGACGTAAAAGCAAATTACAAAAGAAAATGTGATAGAATATTCTTTTATATTGTTAGAGAATTATATTTGTTAATATCATAAGTCATCTGTCTATGGCGTAGAAATAGAATTAAAGTACACTAAGCAGTAAAACTCAATAGACTATATCGAAATTTAAGATTCTGTAGTTATATCTTCAAGAGAAGAATTCTTTTACTTCTAAACTAATTGTATATATATCGAGAAAAAGTAGAAAAAAACTTTGCGATTATTTATTTAGAATGTTACAAATCTCTCTTAATGTCGTGTTATTAATGGTCAGTTATTTTAGCATTCAGATCTCTCTATATATTATAGATAATCATGTTTACGCAGATTGGAATTAACTTGACTTGTACTAATTCTGCTTTTAGACAAATGTTTCAAATTATACTATTGGCAAGATCTGATCAAATAAAAAAAAGTCTAGTCTATAATGTAAAAAGACACGACTTATCTTCACAGTGATGTATATGTATATATATATGTATGTGTATATATATACATATATATATAACGAAATTATTATAAAATTTACAATTAATGTAAAGTTTACAAGAAAAAATGGCAGCAAATATATTCTTTTTGTAAAATTCATGTTTTTTCATTGTCTCCAATTTTTAGTTAGACAATTAGAAGGTAATTATACAATATAACGATACAAAGAATGATATACAACTTCACTTTATTAGTCAGATTTTCATCACCAAAAATTATTTCCACGAAAAATATTAAATATATCGTACATATTAACGTTTAAATAAAACTTTTGTAAATAATTTACAATACTATTATCAGATTAAAAATAGATGAAATAATTATGTATTTTATTACAAATTGTGTGATATGAACAAACAAATAATTGTTAATGATGTCGCTGTTGTTTATTACAAATGTCATTTAGTACTATACTTAAGTAATTTTATCTTACTCAAGTGATATTGGTATTAGTGTACTCTCGTTAAATGTCATACTGTTAGATTTCTATTTCATTTCTCGATTATTGATATCTCATTTGTATGTAAATATTGTATAATACTGAACTCGATAGAGTAAAAGTGTAGAGGTAAAATATATCGAACTATTGATGATGGCATCCGACACCATTTAGGAGTAATGCTCAGAGGCCTAGTATATCTGGTTCCTGATAGCTGTACGTGTACAATGTTCATTTCATCCGGCGTTCCAGATTCTGTGCAGCGACAGGTTTGAGCAAAACTTCTTGTACGATAAAAAATGGTGTAAATGTATAAAAGAGCCACTCGAAGACGATAAAACTTTTGTCCATACTATGTTTAACATTATTCGTTATGTCTTCTTACATTTTTGATCTTAAAATATATAAATATAATTATATATTTATATATAGGTATTAACCTATCCACAAAGAAAGAAACCCCATAATAATCCACAACTCCGCTAGATATATTACAATCATTAAAGGGAGTTCAGCATTTTGCAAAAGTAGATTATCTTGATTCAAGATATTCAATGATTTAATACAATTCAGCCTGATAATTTAAGGATCCTCAAACAGCAGAAAATTTCTCAAACAATTTTCATAGATACATCGTTATCGTTAATTATCGAATGCATTTTGTCAACGTGTACAACTTATTATGTTCAGGAACATAGTGATATATATTATATATATGTATATGATCGAAGCAATCCATTAGACATAAGCGAGATATACAATACTAAATCTGATATTTTCTTTAATTCTGCACATTATTTGCAGAAGATAATAAATAATATTATTAATAAATTGATAATATCTTTGACGATCATACCTTTAATTATATTGTTAAGAAGATGCATAGGCTATGCATATAAATAAATACCTCGCTTTTAACCAAGGGAATCAACAGCCATGGTATTAAGACCGTTCTTGCTAATAGTAGTCTTAAATTGCTCCGGTACTGGATATTCGCTCTACAATGGTAATATATTCAAGTAGAATTATAAAAATTAAAAAATTGCATCTGTTAATTGTAGGCTAACTTACATAATCTCCATTGGCTTTGGGCACCATGACATTCATTTCACTAGATTTACTGGTGATGAGTTCAACACCCAGAGAATCCGTACTTAAATACATTTGACAACCGTCCGTTTTATCAATAGAAATTGTAGGTACCTTTCCGAGCACCTGTAATAAATATATGAAATAGATATGATTATTAATATCTATTATATTAAAAAGATATATTATTCATATTAGACTCAAAACTCGAATCAATACTCGCAATAACTGGCAATATATTCAGAGTGCATTTCAATAACAATTGCCAGTGCGTAAGTGCTCGGCCTTGCAAACCATGCCGAACATGTATCGGTAGTGGAAGATATAGCAGCCTGACAGTTCTTTGAATTTCACACGCATAATTTCATTTGTATTAAAATATCAATTTAACAAGCATTGCGTAAATAAAAATGCCGTGGAAAGTTGGTAAGAATATTTTTTCTTATTTTTAACGCTAAACTAAATTAAATACAAATAGTATACGTCAAAAAATCTATCTATTTTTCAAAAATTCGAAAAAATGGAAATGTTTTAGGTGGAAATTTCGAAACTGTGGCCGTAACATGTGAGACAAATTGGAAAGATTGTGTAATCGCGGTGGCAAATTATTTATGGTGCGAGGTTGTATCTGATGTTGTTGATTATTTAGCAAAAGAAGGAATTATATGGGTATGCAATTTTATATATATACACTCTCCACAGATTATTAGTAATTACTTTTAAAAGTTTTTGTTAAGGATTTATATTACAAACTAAATATTTAAAATCCACAAGTTACTTTTTTTGTTCTATAGTTTCAAAAAATTAAAAATTTTTTGATTCTTGCTAAATTAGATTTAAGAAAAATATTTAATTGTACTGTAATTTGTCTAATATTTAAAGGTTTTAGCGATAGCCATCGCTTCTACGATACTTATTCGTATAAAATATTGCAAAAATATGCACACAAAAAATGCTGTGCTTAATAAACAAATACTAAATAAAGTCAGATATAAAATTCAGGATTTGGAATTGAAAATCAATGTTTTAACGTACAAAATGCAATATGGAACTTGGCCACTACCACATCAAATCTGTAATTTAAATCCAAAGCTATGGAAGATCAGAACGACTTTATCTAATCCAGGTGACCGAAAAAATTGGTTGAAACAAGTGCTGTCAAAGTACGTAAAAAAGTTTAAAATATCGAATATTAACAAATTTCTAATGAGTCAATTACAAAAGAATATAGATTTTAATATATTTATGTTTATATAAATAATGCTTTATTTCAGTTCTTTATCAGAGAGCAACATGTATGCTCCTCACTCAAAAGCGCTTCATTCATCAGAAGCAAAACTAACAAATCGTTTTGATATAAAACAAGAACATGTCCCACAACATATTAAACACAGTGAATTATCAACAGCCCGCATTGAAACTTTAAAATCTACTGATCAATCTGTGAAGTACAAAAATTAGAAATACATTCAATTTTACACTAATTTTTACTATTCATATAACTAGAATGCAATTTTTATACAGATAAGCACCATAGTCTTATAATTAAATTGCTTCAGAAATATTTTGCACTTTCTCTCGATAATTCCCGATTTTATTTAGTTTTTTTTTTCAAGCAAAAACATGAATAAAAAAGTATTAGTAGAACATTAATAGAAAAACTAAAAATAATAAACTAAGAAAACTTAATATTTTAAATTATTAATGTTTTACATTACTAATGTTTTGCTCGGCGAAACCTTCCATCCAAAACTAAAAAACATTAATGTATAACAATATATATAATATTAATTATTATATATTTTACTTCAGTCTATCATACAGTAATAAGAATTCAGAGAAAGCGCAAAATCTTTGAAAACCCGTGCAATCACTGAGTTAGTTTATTTCGTTAGTGTATATTCAGCGAGGGCACATATATACCCGCAAAATGCAAGAACGAAGAAAAATAATCTCTCTAAAAGCAAAAATTTCACATTGCAACGCCAAAATGTGCAGCTTCTACCACTGAATTCAAACGTGATTAATCATCAATCTTCAAAAATGACTCCTTTCGTAATGCAGAATGATATATATGGAATAAATACTAACAATCCATGCAAGAAATTCACAGAGACTATCTATAAATGCAAATCATTTCTTAAGGAATTGCAACGTAACAATAAATATCTACGTTCAATGAATCGGCCATCAAAAATGAGCAAAATATCTTCATTAAAATCTACACACACAACAGGACAAGTAAGTTTATTAATCGCCTAATTTAAATAAGCGCAGTAAATAATATTATTTTATGATAATATAATTTATGATAATTATCAATTCATCATATTCTAGACAGCTTTGTCGACAAGAAAGGAAAGAGAGACATTCTGCGATGCTTCTATAATAGTAAAAAAAGAAGAAATAAATGAGATAAAATGCGTGGAACGAACGCAAGGTAATATGGTAAAAGATACTGAAGAAACATATCCTCAAAATAAAGTGAACATATCTAAAGACGTTGTTGCTTTAAAGACAAACAACTGTGCACCCTCGAGAGAACTCGTCCCAGTTATTCCGATAATGCAACCAACGCACAATATACAACCTTCTCAGGAAACGTTAATCGAAGTCAGAAAGAGACTTCAGAATTTACATAATGTGTTGCAAACATATCAAGACACGAGTAAGTCTACAAAACGACAAGAATCGACAAATCAAATCGATGAAATAGATTCATTTATAACATATCCGGTCATGGATATCTCAAGCGAATATTTCGAGTTAAATCGCTCAGAAGATAGTTTATCTTCCTTAGCCGAATATTCATCACGTACGTCGAAAACGTATCAACGTTCTAGTGAAAATCTTACATTGCGAAATACTTATTCTAAAGGATTTAGTCAACATGATATAAGAAGCAATCTTTCAGCATTTGTGCCAGCAGAACTGCATTTACGTTCCAGCAATGCAATATTACAGACATTGGAAAGCTACGAAAATGAATACAAAGAATGCTTGTGCGAAAATATTTTAGATTGCAGTCGTAACCACGAAACGGAATTGAATACCGAAGTCAATAAAGATGCGATAAAAGCAAATACTTTTTTCGATACACGAGATAACATATCTGAAGCAATATCAGAAAGAATATTCTATACTTTATCACCTGAAAATAAAGATATTCAAATTCAAAACGAGGCATTATTAGAGGAAAGATTTGCTACTAAAAAATTCAGCGACTCATTTGATAAAAAACAATACCGAGAAAATGTGACAATATCTCAAAACAGCAGTCAAAGTAAAATATCAAACAATAGCAATAACAGGGGAACAAAATCGACGGTGTTACTGCTTCAAGAGGCTTTGCATTTCAAGAATACTTTACTGACACACTTAAAAAAGAAATGTCCAATAAGCAATGTAAAACAAGGTGATATTGCGGGTGAATCTTCACTGATATCAAATAATAATTTTCCTTCGATGATAGTAGATATCAAAGAGAAAGAACCAGTTGTTAGTAACTCTCATGATAAAATTAATCAACGTTACATCTGTTTAGAAATGAAGCAACGACGTGACTTATTTCCTCAATATTTGAAAAAGATAAATACACTCGAGCATTATGAAGACGAACAAGATATCAAGAACCAAGATTGTATTTCCGAAACATCTTCGCAGTATTTTAGCATTACAGATCTCACGAGTCATAATAATAGTGTCGAGATTAAGAATAATGTTTCGTTAAAACCTCCGATTTATGAAAAAGTAATCTCGATAACAATACCAGTCGATATGGATGAAAGATCGATGCAAACAAAAACTGATCTATCAAATATTCGCACGTGCATACAAGAAAATTTAAGAGAAAATACAGTGTCCGACATTGACAATAATATCGCTGATAAACGTTCGCCGACGATGTTAAAATTCGAAGACCTCATATTGGAACGTGTTAAAGATATCAGAGATTACATAGACACTTTTCTTCAAAATCAAAATATAGCAATTTTTAAAGCACGCAGAGCACTCCAATGTCAAGGTAAAAACAATGTTTTTCGATGTTCAAATGAGGCGAGTCATGTAATAGTATATAATCGATCTATCGCACCATCTAGCAGCAACAGCGCCGACCAAATTTTTAGTTCTTCAAAGAAGTCATCCGATATTTTAACAAATGCATGGCCGAATTACATAAAAGAATACAAACAGGAAACAGAAAATGATTTAAAATGCTCTTCCGACCTGTATTTAAAGAGAAATCCAGGAATGTTCGCACTTATTACTCCTATTAACAATAAATTCTCTATCAAGAATGATACACAACAATCGGAAATACCTACAGAATTAGAAAAGGAAGACGTTGATTTGTTTCTTCCAAAAATTCTAACGCACAAAACTGACTCAAAATCTACATACAAAATACCGAATTCGATTACGCCTTGTTGTGAAGAACACATTGTATCGAATACAGAAAATGATAAAATTGATAAAAGTACAATAGTTGATGTAAATGCGGATTTCAATAAACGTAAAATGCAGACACAAATCACTGAAAGTAAGCCATCAATAATATCATATTTTTCACTTGATGTTGCAAACGGTGATGCAAAAGTCATTCACACAGCACGTGAAGACTGTCTGACAAAATCTAATTACAATTCGATCTCTCATAGTAATTCGTATTTCACTGACGAGGAAATAATAAGTGATGTAAAAATGGACAATGTATCTTCTAAATCTACGCTGGACATGAAACATTCATATTTAAAGTTAAACGTACAGAAAGAAATGAAACAAAATGTTATTAAACAACAAATATCCGTAGATAAATGTCCAGATATAAATATAGTAACACCAAATAAATTGTCATCAGAATATTCTAATTTGACAATACTTATTAACTCAAATCTTATTCTTGATAACTCAAAACGTGATTATCCGACGAATCCAAAAACGTCTCCTTTAACAACATTAAAGGAAAACAATTTCATCTTTGATCCCGCTGCTTCTTTACTATCTCTGTCATTAAATAAAGAAAATAAAACATTAAATACAGATAGTATCTTAAATGATTTAAAACAAAATGATGAAATATCTATATACACCGCAAATTTATCGCCTCGAATAAAACATTGCATCATAAAACCATTCCAAACATATTCCCAAGTTAAAGCCAAAAGCGACATGTCTTTAATAACTAATAGACGTAAAGATTTAAAAGTTAAAATATATCCAAAAAAATCACATTCACTTTTAATACGCCATAATATGAAATACATCAGCGGTACGTTACATCAGCCCTATCCAAAGCTGCACAATGATAAAAATAAATGTGTAAAAAATAAATTGCGACTCATAACTCAATCAAAGTCTATTATACTACCACAAAAAATATCCACTAAATCTAGTATACCGATCTTAAAAAATCGTTTAGAATCATCTCACAGAATGAAACATCAAGGACACGCGAGGAGTCCTCCATTAACTATGTTAAGAAAAAAGACTTGTACAAAAATTCATGCAACAGATGAGGAAGTTGTACAAAATGACAATGTTTCAATAAATAGGCATTTGCATGTAGAGAAGACACACACGGTGTCAAATTTAACAAAATTAAATTTAGAAAAGAATATATTCAATGAAGAATCAGAAAAACGTAATATGACATGTAGGGAAAACACATCAAAAAAATATTCGGAAATTGTGTCTAGTGATCAAAATGTAAAATCCTTAGCAATCGATAAAAAGCAGAATTCAGATAAAAATTCAGATAAAAGCGATATATATGGAAGTAAATCAGATACAAGCATAATGCAGCATATAAAAAAGATTGCTTCTAAAGAGATGATTGTTATTTCTATTATGGCAAATGACGATTTACGGAAGAAGTATCCGGCGGATTTATTTATTTTAAATACGAAGAATATCAGTCCCACGACTGATCTGCTGATACATAAAAACAAGTTGTGGACTATTACTGTTGAAAAAAAGGAAAAAGAAATTACAGCGAAACCTTCCATTACAGATACATGTACATCAATGTCTAACTTACAATACAATGAATGAGACTTGAGACGTATAACTTGTCTTATTTCTGTAAATATTTTTAATATTTTTATTTATCGAATTTTTTTATAAAGAGTGCATTTTTTCTAAATAAACGCTTATTTTTACATTTGTATGTATTAAATTTTTTATAGAAAAAGCTTTTCAGAAAGTTAAATTATCTATAAGATATCTTAAAATTAAGATCTCTCTCCCTATAAGCTTATACACACGCTAATAATAAAAGGAGCTATTGTGTAACCATACATACCTGCATTTGTACGCTTTGACAATTAACAAATTCGATACTGGACACCAGGGAATCGAATACAACGGACGATTTACGACAAGAATCCATAACAACAGAATTCATTTTGCCTTTGACAGTAAGTGTGCTATCTTGGCATCGAAACATATAAACCACATTATTCATCTCTACGTTATCAATTACTAAATTCTCACCCTTATGATATTCCTGTGAAAAATACAATATTTTTAATATATAATAATATAATACGTACAGTGAAACGCATTGTTCAATATTTTTATTATTTCTTTATAAAATATCATACCACAAGCCATTTTTTGCCATCTCTAGTAAATACAGGTGGCTTGTCAATAGGTGCACTTGCTGGCAACACCGTTTTCATCGGTATCGCATTAATTGTCGGCGTTTTAAATGGTGCCGGACCGGATCTCAAAGCAGGATTTTTATGTGTTTGCATATCGGAGGTGACTCTTTTCAAACCTATAATATAAATATATTATATATTGCATATAATATATTCTCGCACAGAAATTGTAGAATTGCATAGAAGAAAAAATATATAATATGTATTCACTTTTCGTGATATCTTCTCCTTGATTAATCTGAGCGAAAAGAGCGCTTCTGTCGTCATTCACCGTCGGTGCAATATCTCCGATTGGCATCGAGGGTGGCGGAGGGGGTGGTATGCATACGCCCGCAGGTGCGCCAGTTTTTCCCCATACTAAACCCGTCGTATGATGTTGACGAACGTACTGTTGCAAGTCGGTCAATGTTTGCACCCATGCTTTACACCAGTCTATGTGTATTTTGTCTCTATAAATAAGTAAGTTTTAGTTCGGTTCCTAAACAAATTACAAAAAGAATAATGAGTTTTAAAAAAAGCTTACTTTTCTTTCCAATCTTTTAATACACGATTGGTGTAAAATTGACCTGCGTCATTCATTTCCTTCACATAAGGAGCTGGCGTAGGAGACACAGCGACCCATCCCAAAGCTGGGATACTTTCACTAATTGCTGATAAGTGATTAAAGAAGGGAGAACCACGATTCTTCTCGCGAAATTCTTGAATCTGTTGTATTTGTGCAGACATGGGCGCAAATAAAGATACTTGTTCGGATTGATTCGTCGGTGCGGGACGGCTCGCTGCCATGTGTATAAACTGAAGCTGAATTCTAAAATTAGAATATATTTAACAATTTATTATTATTAACCCTTTATTATTGATAATTTAATAATTTATTTGATATATATGTTTATCTACTTCTTTAATTTTATAAAATGTTACTTACTGAAAAGCCTTTTCCACGAGCTTGCTATGAACATCTACATCGCCGCCGATTTTTTTACTTAATTGTAGATATTCTTTAACTGGCCCAGTTAAAAAGTCTTCATATCCGGCGACCGACATGTTTGTAGATGGATTCGGAACAGTTTCCTGCTTCGACGATAGAGATAAACTACTTCCTGACGACGTAGACCTCTTCGGGGAAGGTGTGCTCGTTTGTACAGCGGTGTCTTGTGTCTGAACTACAAAGTGTACGTTTTCAAGTCGTCTCGTTACGTTTTCCAATCGGTTCACTAACTCTTCTAGATGTTCTTCTTTATCGATACTCTCGCAACCTGCAATTTATTTTATAAACAAACTTGTAAACGTTTGTATACAGTCTATAATAATAATAAAAAAGATTATTCATTCACTCACATTTAAAAATGTTAACATAAAACTGATAAACAAACGGAAAACACAAAGAGGAAAGTAAACTTTATCTCGTAGGGAATTCGGACATATATATCTGGAAAACTTAGAGACGCTTGAAATACTTCATCGAGTACTTGGAACACTAAATATAGAATACGTTTATAAATAGTTAGTATACATCGCGAAAGGATCAGTACTTAAGTGTGTACATTAATAAAACTATATGTATCAAAATTAAATGTATACACACACACACACACATATAATATATATATATAGTAAGTACACAGCTTAAGGAAAAACGCGACCAGCGTAATTTTTTAAATTATAATGATAAAGTACATATAATTAAATAATTATATTAATGAACAATTCAATCGTTATCATTGTTTACTATTTACGAAGCGTATTTTCTACTAAGAAAGCATAATTTTTAAAATAAAGAACTTTGAATCGATTTAAACACCTGCTCCGTATTTATATTTTGAAACTATGTTTTGACAACAAACTAAACTTTCGACGAAATTGTCGGATAAAAAAAAAGATTAGACCAATTAAGATGACGATTCTCTTCTTTTCACAAGGTACATAAATGACTTTGATTATAAAATTTGTCCTTAAATTCGTTGTAGATTAAAATTTCCTAATGCACGCAGAACCATCTGGCTAATGAAATAAAATGTATAAAAATTATACCGCTCACGGTTTCCCTTAAAAGATTATTTATATATTTTGTTTGCCTTATTTTTATTTTTCGCCAGAATGTTACCTAAGTTTTGAAGAATATTGCAATTATCCTATTATAAACGACGATGCAGCTACTAAACTTTCCGAAAATTGGCAAGAAACTGAAAGATATCTTAAATGAGATGACTTTCCGTCCGACGCGAGAACTCCAGACTATTATTAGAGAATCCACCAACATGCAGTTATAAGTCCCATCCACAGAAATACGCTCGGCAAATGATTCATAATGTAACATAATCGCAATGGTATTACTTGAAGCGCATAGAGATTTAATCGTCATATCTAAAGATATGTAATATACGTAGAAATTGAAAGTATGCACATTCGTATGCATCATACTTGCAATCACACTGGATACATTATGACATGGATAGATTAATTATTTCTCTTATCTTTTTTTCTTTATTTTAAACATGTAATAAAAATATCGGTAACAAAAAATCAAGTATGAGTGATCAAGATAAAAAGATATATTCAAAATATATTCAATAACGTTGAATAGCGCTAGTCTGTATCATACTTATATAAACATTGTGCGTACAATTTATAAAATTATTCATGAAAGTGATTGTATAAAATAGACTATCGTAAGCTGGTATAAACGAGAGTGGATTGTAAAATGAGGCGAAAATCGCAAGGCAGACGCTGGGCTAGAATCCAGAACTAACAACGCGTGAAAGAATAACAACCGACTAAGGCGCAGTTCCACAATTCACGGTTAACTCTTAATCGAGATTTAACTTATTTTGTATCTCTTTCCGATTCTAGAATTGGAAAGAGATAAGGAATAAGTAGAATTTAACTCTCGGTTAAGAGTTAACCGTGAGTTGTAGAACTGGGCCTATAGGAAATTCTTAGGCAAATCCTAACCGGTGTGCACCATCGGTCCTAACGGGTCGAATCTCACTCGGTGCTCCGTCGAATTCTGCGCAGCTTGCAACAGATCGGAGAAGAATCTGTGTCGCCTTAAAGCTAACTCGTCGCGAGCGACGGGCGTCGCCGGCGGTTCCTGCATGCCGCTGCATCCACCCGAGACGTATTCGCCGTCATCTTCCTCGGACAGCCAACGTGGAATCGAGGCAACTACGGAAATGACATATGATACGTCGAGCTTTTATTCTTAAAGATGCATGTCTTTCATTCTTGAAGTCTTACGGCCACACGTGGCCCGCTCTGCCCCGCCCACCAGTTAAAGTTAATATTCTCATACAATTGATAAAGTGGTGTCATGTCCCCCACGGAAATTATTACAAATCGATGTTCTTTCTACTAACGCGAGTAGGTACTATACGAGCGTAGAAAATGGGACTGCCTACGAAAAGAATCCATCATTTTTATTTACAAGACATTTATATGCCGCATTCAACTTTAAACGCAATTTTATGTAATTTGTGATGAGAAAATAGTGTTTACATTATTTAAAAAAAAAAAGTGTTTAATAGAACGCGTGTTTGGTTGTTATTTAATTATTCATATTTAATAACTGCATTTGTATATAGAATACCAAACACAATATTTTAGTAATACAATTAGTCATAAAGTTATATAATAAATATATAATATTATTTATATATTTAAATTAAACAGAAAGAAACATAAATAAATTCTTTAAATAATATCTGTTACATGGATAAAACATAGATTTTAGGATAAAATTACTAATTCTTTTTATTCAAGAGAAAGGAAGAATATAAAAATGTGTGTTTATTTTATAAAATAACGAAAAATAAATAAAAAATGCGCTTTAAAGGGAGAGCTTCAAAACAATAAAAATAAATAAGTCCATAATAAGCAAGTTCGTAACTCAATATTCGTATATCCCGGAAATTCACATATTTACAAATATAACATTATGAAATATGCAAATGTCAAATATCGACACGTGTAAAATTATACAAGAATAATCAAATATTAACGATATGTGGGCAGACTCGTATATCAGTGTTCAAATTACAGAGACGTAGGATCGCGGATCCTAATGTACCTGGTGGCTCCTTCTTGATCGTTTCATTTTCGCTCGGATAGCCTTCAAATACCGAGTCGTCACCTTCGTCCTCCGGTCCGTCATCGATCGTCCTTTCTATATATCCCGACGCGTCATAAAGATTCGTTTTGACGGGAGCAACAGCATCAATAGAGTCAACGTTTTCAGTCGGCTGCGTCCAATCTTCAACGACGCTGTCGACGAGGTTGCTGTCTTTATCGTCGACAATTTTGAAGCCGGTTTCCTCACCGGCTTCCTCAACTGTTTCTTTCGTCGAGGATGAACTCGAGCTATCTTCAATGTCGGTATTTTCGTTCGAATATATACGAATTGGAGTGGAATTTAACGAAGTGGCGCGAATCGGGGAACTTAGCGAGGCATTCCTAGCCTCTAGCAAAATATCCTTATCCTCTAATGTGACATATTTATCCTCTGGCGAGGCATCCTTATCCTCTGGCAAAGCATCCTTATCCTCTAGCGAAACATCTTTATTCTCCAGCGAAGCATCCTTATCCTCTAATAGGGCGTCCTTATCTTCTAGCGAGACATTCTTATTCTCTGGCAAGGCATTTTTATCCTCTGGTGGGATACCTTCATCCTCTGATGGGACTGCACCTTCATCCTCTAGTGGAATATCTTTATCCTTTGGCAAGGAATCCTTATCCTCTATCGAGGCATCCTTATCCTCTATCGAGGCATCCTTATTCTCTAGTGAGGCATCCTTATTCTCTGGTGAGATATCCTTACTCTCTGCTGAGGCACCCTTATCCTCTGATGAGGCATCTTTTTCCTCTGGTAAGGCATCCTTATTCTCTAGAGAGGCAACTTTATCCTCTAGCGAGACATCCTTATTCTCTAATGAAATATTTTCTGGCGACGTCTCTTCCGACTTCTGTACATTGCCATTCAACTTGTCCACCTTCGTCGCAAATTCAATCTCGTCATCCACTTCGACGGATGCTGCGGTTAGCTTGGGCGATCCAACTGGCGTGTCATCCTCTCCCTCAGCGTTCGCCTTCTTCGACGCGCTGTTACATACGCAACACTTAAACATCGTTCCTATATATCATCCACCTCGTACTCCACGTATTTGCCGTTATCTTTGCTGCTTTTCCTGAATACGTATTTCAACGTACAATGTTATATCACGCGTTCAAGATTGATAATAACTTCTCTTCAATTCGTAAAATCTCTTACAAATTAATGTTAAAAAATTCCATTTAATTCAACGAGAAAACTATAAGTTTCTTAATAGACTTAACAGTCAAAAATTTAACAAATATTTTTAACGAAATGTGACAATGCCAACAACTTCCCAGCCCGCAATGCCGTTTCATGCGGATTCGTTTAAATCGTCAATATGGTCGTTCATAAACATAACAAGTTAATTATGTCAATTACAACTGATGCGTGCAGTATGTCTCAGGATGCACCAACATCGTCGTCTTTTTACACGAACGGTGCGCGATAACGCTTGAAACGAAGCTCAAAAGGCACAAGCGATCAAAAATCGCGCTCGAACAATCTCCTTGTGATAAAACACGGCTCCTTTTTCTCCAGCCACACTGCAAAAATTCCGAATATATGCTCCGAGATGCACAATTATTTGGTAACAAGAAATTGAAGTATCGAACGTAATTGTCAATTATCGATAGAATTGTCATCACACTCTCGTGAAAAAAGCAAAACAAACGCACGAGAGTTTTAGAAGCTTTCGCAGGGCGAGTGTCAAAAGGATTCCAGGTGCAGATTCTAGAATGGAGTATATTCCGAGAGCAGTCCACAGGATAACAGAAGAATGCAGAAACGCACTCGCCAGCTGGATAAATCTAAAGTTGAGAATTTCCGATTGTTGCTGACAAGTATCGCGGAAGGAAAAGATAGCAGGTTTTTCGAGAGATCAACGGAACGGCGAGGAAGACGGCAACGATAACGAAGGCGCGAGCGGAGAGGCGGCGGCTGGAGATAACGTCCTGGATGCTCGCCCGGATTTGACGTTCCCAGTTTCGACCGGCGCGATGCAACGTTTCCACCCCTGCCTCCTCGCTCCTTCTTCGCACCTCCGGGTCACGTCCCTTGTGCTGCCGCTGTTCGGAAGTGAATCGCAACATCCTGCTTTCGGGGCGACTTTTCGACTGAACCCTTGTGGATTAGCGAGATCAACTTTTGACCGTTTATGTAGTTTAATTTTAATCTCGATTCAACTAACTCTTATGCCCATTTCCACCAATGCAGATTAATTTTAATCTTGGTTCAATTTGCTTTTCATCTTTTTCTAATTCTAAAAATTAGAAAAAGATTAACAGTAAGTTAAACCGAGATTAAAGTTAATCTGCATTGGTGGAAACAGGCATTATTCATCTTCTTCTAGTTTTAGAAATTAGAGAAAAGGAAGAGAGTAAATTGAATTGTTTTCTAAGACTAAAGTTAATCTAATTAATATTATAAAAACAGGCATTTAACGGATATCAACATTATGAATTAAATTTAGAGCATATATTATTTTTTTTAAATGTCTTTATATAAATAGCGTTTCTTTAATTTTGAAATCATTTTTGAACGAGTTAAAAAACTGTCACTCATAAATGAGTAATGGAATCTTTTTGAATTGTATGCGTCACCTATAGATATGTGTGATATGACAATCAAAGTCTACTTGACAAAATTTTGAACTCGATAACTCGATATCCCTAATTAAATCTTTTTTTATATTGCAAAAAATGAATAACTCTATCCATAAAATAATGCAGGAGTGAGTGGTCGAAAAAAATTAATCGAGTAATTGATTTTAAAAATTATTTACAATGATCGACAGTCTCTCAATATATCAACGATTTCCTATTAATTTTTCTAAAGATGATTAATTCTGTCGACACAAGTACTTGTAACAATATTTCTGATTGTATAATTCGTCTTTCTTGTCGTGTCAAATCTAATCTTTCTTGTTTGTGTCAAATTACAAATAAAGTTAATAATTTAACTGTGATAATAAAGATAAATATTGATAAATATTTTTTGATTAATTGACTATCAATTAATCGAACAGTCATCATAAATCAGCAATTTATAGCAACCAATAAGTAAAAAAAAATTAATATGATGATAATAGATCATTATGACGCAATTAACAATGTCTTACAACAAATTTTCTATACTACTATACTCTGAAAATAAACAATGATGATTTATCATCATTGTTGTTACTACTAATTTTTTTAATATATCATAACACAAGCATAATATATTTTGATGGAATGTCTAACATATACAGTTTAAATGATACAATAACATCATGTGGTGGAATATTTGAATACAATTAGATATTTTTATTACACTTTCACACTATAGGTTCGTTTTCTATAGCTACACTAAATCTCATTAGAATTTTCCTTCTCATTTTCACCAAATTTCGTACATTCTAGTAAACACCAACAAATAAATACCATAATATTAATGTTATAAATTTCAAACTTAAAATATAAATGTAATATAATGTTGTACATAAAAATTATACTGTTGAGTGTGAAATTATAACATGGATGTTTATATTACTTTGTATTTACTAAAATTACTTTAGTGAAATAAACATCTTATTGTTAGAAGTACAAGAAGTGTATACTAATTATGTGATATAAAAAACATTTTATAATTTAAAAAAGTCTTATAATTTTGAAAGACTTGCTATAATAGTAGATTAATTCACATTTTGTAAAAACAGAATAAATGAACTTTTAAATTAAAGTAATGAAAAAAATATCAATATCATTTTAAAATTTATTTACTCCATTTTTACAAAATGTGGATTGTTTACTGTTGTAGCAAGCCTCTCAATTGAATTGAAAACCAAGTAGTACTCTCTTCCATTCTAACCGAGTTAGCTATTAATCTCTTCGCTCTAATCTAATAGACTTCTACCAAAGTAGATTAATTTTAATCTCAGATTAATTTATTCTTTATGTTCTTCTAATTCCTAGAATTAGAAAAAGACAAAAAGAGTATAAATTAAACAGATATTAAAGTTAATTTATATTTATAGAAATAGACTTAAATCAAACAATAGGAACATTTCATAATAAAGAATTGAATTTCATGGATAAGTTTAAGAAAACTTAGTTAATCAATAACATATTCAACCAATGTAATTTCTAATAATTCATTGTCCTTGATTTTACTTAAATATTCTTTATCTTATTTTATTTATATTTACGTCTGTTTTTATCAATGTAAATTAAATTTAATCTTGGTTTAACTTTCTTTGTATCTTTTCCTAATTCTGAGAATTAGAGAAAGATAAAAGAGTAAATTAAACTAACAATAAAATTAGTCTACATTGGTAAAAAGAATATTCATATCTTACTTAAAAGTTCTTTAAATTCCTACTTATTAACTTAATCAATGATAAATTCAACCGATACAATTTCTATAATTGTATAATTAGTTATATTGATCTAATCTTTCTGTTCAAGAGTGTCAAATAAAAAACGAATGATTCGATTTACGTTAACAAGGTACTGCAGATATTACTCGATAAGTTAATTGAAGTTAATTGGAGTAACCTGTTTACAATCTGTGTATCTAGTTGCTTGAGGTTATTACGTTAAATGTGCCGACAGATGTATGAAAATTCAACAAAATTAAATAGTTTCACAAGAAATGATAATTATCTGTCGAACTTAATCAAAGAAGTAGTCTTCGACAAAGTTTACTTAGCGTAAGCACGATACGACTATGCGAATGCATACGTCACCGGCAATAAACGTCAAGTGAAATGCATGACTCAAGCCAGGCAACGCTCGCCGGAATGCATAACGGCGGATAACCAAACTTTGCACTTTCAGTCTCTTCGAACTTAGCCAGCCTGAAAAATAAATCCGCGCGAAAGAAGTCTACTCATTTTGCACGTAATTTTAACATCGTACGTTCGATCGCGCTTAATATTAGGCCTCCTGTCGGAAAATAAACCAAGCAATTTACGGAAAAGGAGCTACTCTGTCGCGCGTGGCGATAAAACGACGACGTCCAAACTATAAATGTACACTCACCATTCGGTAGAAGATCTTCTCGCGTAAATCACCACCGCTTGCACGGCCCCTTTCTCGATAGAATCGATGAAAAATCGGCGAGGTACGATCTATCGTACGGGCAAAAGTTTCAGCTCCGGCGGCGATGCGCTGACAGGTAGACTGGGGCGTTTGCCGGATGTGCCGGAAGTACTGTTTTCGACCGCTCTCTGATTTTAGCGGCGGCTTAAAATCGCCGATTGCACGCGTACGGGCCGGTCTTCAGGCTTCAGGTTGTTCGCGAAGGAAATGCACGACCTATACGAAGACGAACTGTATATAATAATACCCTGAGAAAGAACAAGTCGTTACTCAGCCGACAGAGAGGGCTTTCAGGCGACAATATCCCTCTTTCTCTCAGTACAGTCCCAGTCAAAAGTTTGCTGAGTTTTTTTGCGTTTTTTATTGGAGATGAGAAAACAGCGTTATAATTTTTTATGTCTATAGATTTATAGCTTACTTTCTGTACCTTTTTCTCGTTTTAACAATAAGAAAAACTTAAAGAGTTAGTTAAAACAAGATTAAATTATATATATATATATATATATATATATATAATCTACA